TACCCTTCCAGCTATAGGACAGTGTGTACAGGAATGTGGCCAAAATGCTGATTGTGTCATAGAAGAAGACAGAAGTCAGTGTATTTGCAGGAAAGGGTTCACTGGAGATGGTTTCAAATGCACAGGTAATCCAAAACACAGAAAAATCTATACCATATTTCACTGTAGAATGTGAGCTGATAGATTGCTATCAAGACAGAAATTAGAATGTCTTAATGTGTGTTACTTTCAGATGTGAATGAATGTGATAACGAAGACAGCTGCAATAGTAATGCTGTTTGCACAAACACAGTAGGTTCTTTTGTATGCCGTTGCTCTAAGGGCTATGTCAAAGACGGAACATCATGCATAGGTAAAGACATGTTTTAATAATCATGTATAAAAAAATCGTGTTTGAAATTTTAATCTCAAAAATAATACTATTATATAGTTGGGATTTTGCCATGATATTATTCAATATTAAACATGTAGATCGCGATGAGTGTGCAGATGGTAGTCATACTTGTAGTAGCAACTCCATATGTACAAACACCAGAGGGTCATACGTTTGCCGATGCAAGAAGGGATATACAGGAGATGGGCAATCTTGCACAGGTTAGAGAGGAGCCTCCTTGCAATTACTAAATCTCATTTCATTTTAACACTTTTCTTTTTCCAATATTTCCAGATATGGACGAATGCAGTCTAAATACTCATGGCTGCAGTGAAAAAGCMGTTTGCACTAATACTCAAGGCTCTTATGCTTGYCGATGCATGAAAGGATTCAGTGGAAATGGGGCTGTTTGCTCAGGTAAATGAGTACTATTGATAACAATAGCATAGAACTGTCAAATGTACTTAAATTGTGTTTTTCTTTACAGATATAGATGAATGCATCCTTGAAGATCACAATTGTGACATCAATGCAAAGTGTGTGAATAACATCGGGTCCTATACCTGTGAGTGCAACACTGGATATGAGGGAGATGGGAGAAATTGTTCAGGTAACTTATGTATCCATCATTTTTACTAAAATGTGTTCTATTTTTTGAGAAATTGTATCAGGCAATAAATATCTA